GATGCAGGTGTGACTTTCTCAGACGGTCGACATCCAACCCCTGGAATGCCAAGTGATTCCAATGAGACGAACATCAAGTATGCCACTGCTCCCTACCCTGCCCCCCACCAGGCAAAGCCTCTTCCACGTTTAGGGTGTGGAGGCCCCGCCCCAATGGATGAAACCCCAAACCATGACATGCGTAGAATTGTGGGTGAACCAGTGAGCCCGGAAGATATGGTGAGATGCCTAAAAGGGTTGACATCGCCTTGCAGCAGTGACATGATCAATGTTGCCAATCATGGCCTTGAGGACAGCAGCAACCATGATCGCCGAGCTGTCCCAAGAGCTCACATCGCACCACCCAACCAGATGCAGGGTGTCAACGCGGTGCCTCTTCCACGCTTAGGGTGTGGAGGCCCTGCGGAATGCGATCCAAGCCATGTCAACCAGGTGAATGTAACAAAAGGATGGCCAACACCACTGAGCTTGAAGGACCGAAGCGATCTCTTCCTTGCCAGGTATAAGGACAGCCAACATGGACCCAAAAAGATGACCAGAAACGATGATCCGGTGATGATCCCAGGTGACAGCACCTCAGAAGCCCAGCCGACCGAAGCTGTGAAAGATCCCAAAATGTCCACCTGCCTTGGGGACAATGACGAATCAAACATGAATGGAAAAGGGAAACCCCCACCCGCCTGCCTGCAAGCCATGCCTCTTCCACGCTTAGGGTGTGGAGGCCCCGCCCCAATGGATATGGAAAAACAGGAATGGGACCCATGGATGGAAGCAATCCAAGCCAGGAAAATGGCACACCATACAGGGCGTTATACCCAAAATGATGCCACCATTGCACATGTTGCACAACCCGCCCTACCCGATGCCATGCCCTCACCACGCTTAGGGTGCGAGGGCCCCACCCAAGTAGAGGTAAAGGACGATGGACCCCACAGTGCCGAGCAGAACCGCCCTGGTCGAGATCCAATCCAAGCAGGCAGACCATCCCATGTGCACCCTGTGACAGGAGGGTTTGTAGCCTTTGCCAATCCCCAACATCTCCTCCAAGATGAAGCAAATGCAGGTGCCAAGGGTCTACCATGCCAAGCCGCTCCCTCCTCCCAAGTCAAAAGACTGGGAGAAAAGCAAGCCGATGAGAAACCAGCCAAACAGCCGAAGATCCAAGATCACGCAGAATCAGGCCAAGAAGACCGAGTGGGCATATATGACTCTCCATCGCAAGATGAAATCAACAAAGCCATCCTCAAACATCTTGACAAAGGCCAAGCCGACAGCTTGCATGTGAGCAAACCAACTCATGCTGCAGCAGAAACACATTTTACGATGGCCACTCAACTTGACAAGACCAATGCTGCAGAGAGCCAAGAAGAACCAGGTGATGACGAGCCAGAATTGCCAGACGTAGCTGTCAATGTCGTGACCCACACAGATGGCATGATGACACATAACATGTCCAGTCCATGCACAGCAGCCGACCTTGCCAGTGCAGTGAGCCGACTTGGAGTACTTAGACAACCAATCCGAGTGAGCACGGCCATGGGTACGCAACTCAGTCAGCAAGACCATATCAAACACAATCACTTTCTCTTGCTTGAAGAGAACAGCCATGTCCAGACCTGGAAATGCCCCAAGAACCATGATGGAGACATCCCAAATTTCCTAGGTCTCACCAGAGAACAAGCACTCTGGACACAAAAGGGTTGGGTAGCATATGATGAGATGTCATACTACATGCACATGCTTGAAAGTTATCACCCAAGCTCAACCTTTGGAGTGGTCCAGGTACCATCCGATCCTGACCGCAACGTCGTTGTTGCCAGAACCATCATACGCGCACTCAGCCTTGCAGGCCAAGATGTCAACAGCAGGGTCAAAGCCATTGCGTTTCTCCACGACCACCACTGGTTCCCATGTGTGGTAGAGGCCCGGGGGGATGAAGCCAAAGTATACTTACCCCCACAAGAAGGTGAATGGATCATTGAGGCATTCGCATCCATGGTAGGCCAAAACCATGTTCAATTTCATGCCGATCCCATGCCTCATGCTTTCCCAGCCGACTGTGGATTCCAAACCATTGGTTGGATCCTAGCGAAGATGATGGATGATGAAACTACCCAACCATTCACAGTACGTCAGGCATGCCAGTGGAGAAGCCTTTTCCATCAAAACCTGATCTATGCAGGGTTGGCCAAGCAAACGGTGCATGACCTCATGATTGGTGGCGCCCTCAACCCTCGAGAGCAATTGCAAAGGTTGATTGAAACACATGGTGTCCACGCTGACCAAAGTACCGAGCGAGCAGAGCAGATTGTCCAGTCACTTGGACTCAAAGCCATCCAACAAATCCTGGTCTCGCCGAAGCCATGGGCAGACTTGAAGGCAAGAGCAAATCTTCACCAACCGCCGCTCAGGATCGTCACAGCAGATGAACTCAAAGATGTAATTCAGAGACGAATGAAGGATCCTCAGCAGGTAGGCAGAAAGCAGAACAAGATCAAGAACACCAAAGTCACCAAACCCAAGATGCAGCTCACTGCCGACCAAGTTGCCATCCCAGCAGCGGTCTTCCGTCAAGAAGATGGCCATGAGTTGTCGCAGATCTATGCAAACCAGATCGGCCCGAATGCCATGGGAGTCGTGTTGGTAAGCATTGACGAAGCAATCCCATACTTCAACCTGAAGTCACCAGTGAGCCAACAGGGGATTGCATTGCTTATCATGGATCATGATGATGCGCGCCTTCCACCCACATGTCAAGTGACCAAAGTTCCAGCCAAATGCATAGCGACCAATGAGCCCATGATTGTCAGCTTGGCCATGATGCAGATTGGAGCCAAGCAAGTGGTTCGTAACCTGCCAGCACAATGTCTCCAGGTCCCTGAAGTTGACAACCAAGTCATCCGAGTCCAAGTGTACAAAGACCAGGCATGCAACAAATGGGATGAATTCATCCAAAAACCGGTCAAGAACCTTCTCAGTGCCCAGCCCTTTGCAGACCTTGCCCCTGCAGCCATTTTGGATGTATGGGACAGGCAGTATATGACCAACCGAATGCTGAAAGTACCAGTTGCTGAAGCACAGCTCTTCATGGTAAACCTCAGGGTTGAGACAAGCGCCATCCGTTGAGACAAGCGCCATCCAAGCAATCATGAGTTCCAATGGGGAAGATGGGAAGTACTATGAACTTCGCCGCAGTGATGGGCGTCAGCCTGACAATGCTTACCAAGTAGTATGGCTACCAGGCAAGACCTTTGCCGAAGCCCAGGTCATCCAGAGAGCTTCACAGATCGAGACAGCGTTGGTGAGGCAGGGGGACCGCTATGGACTCAGGACCAGCAATGACAATGCAGAAGAGGTGCACAAACTGCACAGACCAGACTTGGTCTACATACCTGGAGCTGATCTGAAGAGATTCAGGGTCGGGCCAATGCCGTTCGGCACCACGAAACAAAGCCTGGTCCATGTCTTTCAGAAATGGAATTGGTGTATATTGGTGTGCCAGGCCAATTGGGCCGACAGGACAAGCCTCCGACCGATCGGGCATCATGTGGAGTGTCCAGGCAGCAGCACAGCCGACACATTGGGTGTTCCAGATGGCTCATGGAGATGTTTTAGTGTCCCCAGAAGACAAAGAACAGGTACCAGCCACCAGCAAGCCCACGGTCCTAGCCTCAAGCAAGACGATCCACAGCTTGCAATTGAAGCCCAAAGAGAATACCAAAGAAGACCCATGGCTCCACAATGACCCATGGAGATCGCCAGCAGCTCCGAGCACCCGAGAACTATCCGTAGGACAGGTGGCCTCCATCCAGGCCAATGTTGAGAAGGTGGTCCTTGCCAAGCTCCGTGACGATGATGACTCCATGAATGGAGGTGGTGAACATCGTATCGCCGCATTAGAGCAGAAGTTGGAGCAATTGACCACACAAGTGAGCTCACAACAACATGAGCAAATGCAACACAACCAACAAGTCCAGGTCCAGATGCAAAGCCTAGACATGAAGATCGATCAACAGCAGAATGCATTCCAAAGTGCACTCGACAGCAAGTTGGAACAGCAGATGCTTCGCATCGAACAGTTGTTCACCAAGCGCCCGCGCACGGGCGAGTGACAAGCCGAGAGAAAAACCCGGGGTTCATATCAACTGCCACTATGGTTGATATGCATATTTACATGCGTGTGTCGCATGGGGGAAGCGGCCAATCCTGGCCCTATGCCAAACGGTGATTTTAGCATCGGTTGCATCAATCCTACCGGCCTATTGGGCCGTGGGCAGTTAATTGCAGATTTGCCTAAAGCCACAGGATCCAGTCTGTGGGCCGTAAGTGAAACTCATTTGACAGCCCCCGGCAGGGCCAAGTTCCAAAAAGAATTAAAGTACCACAAAGCGGGTTACCATCTGCAAGCCGGGGCTGACACGCCATGTCGGTCCAACACAGCCACTGCCATAGCCGGAAAACATCGTGGAGTTGCCTTCCTGAGCACTTGCCCAAGCAGAGCCATGACCGCCACATGGCCGAAACAGCAATGGGAAGAATCCAGGTTCCATACCTCTTGTTTTCAAGTAGGCTCACGCTGGGTACAAGGAGGAGTAGTCTATGGACATGCAGCTCAAGCTGAAACAATAGCCACCAGAACCAAAACAGATCAAATTTGCCAATACATAACCGAGCGACTGCTACAACACAGCCATGGCCTGCGCTTCATTGCAGGTGACCTGAACCAACCTGATGGAGCTCTCCAAAACATGCTTGCGTGGAAAGAGGCTGGGTGGGTGAATGTCCAACAATGGGCACTTGAAAGACTAGGGAAACCCATCGAAGTTACCTGTAAAAATAAGACCACCAAAGATCACATCTATGTCAGCCCTGAACTTGCTCAATACCTCAAAGATGTTGAAGTTCAACAAGATTGGTTCCCTGACCATGCGGTGCTCATTGCAAAATTCCATCCACTTGGAAAGCCCCCCCAACTACCGATTTGGAGACAACCAAAACCTATGCCTTGGGATGATATTCCTTTGGAAGCCATCCAATATGAATACCAAAAGCCAGAGAGTCAACAAGACCTCACAGCATCCTATGCACAGGTATGCACAAATGTCGAAGCAGCAGCAGCCCTTGCCCTGACAGCCAAACACAAAGCGTTGCCGGATGCCTGCAAAGGCAGAGCCAAAACGACTGAGGTACGGTGGAGGCAGGAGTACTCAGCCCCGCTCCGACCGTCCAGAGAAGGGGAGTACCAACCCACATACCATGGCCTGAACATCCAGCATGCTAGATGGATAAGGCAGTATAGAAGGATTCTCAACTTCACAAGACTTCCACCGGAAGTTACCGGTAATGCTTTGACCCACCGACGTAAGTTGTGGCATAGCATCAAGACAGCACCAGGCTTTGCACCATGCTTTGCACAATGGTGGATGGACAACACTCGAGAAAGCCTGCCGGTTGAAGCCCCGAGCCACCAGATCTCGGTGTCCATTTGTAGCCACTTCCATAAGCACTTGCAAGCCTTTGAGAAGGCCTTGAATCAACAACGGACAGCAGCAGCCAAGCAAAGAAGGGTGGATGACCCGATGATAATCTTTCGATGCTCAACAGACCTACTGCCAACATCACTCATGTGGAAGACCATGAATGTGCCATAGAGGTATCACAAGAAAAGCATTGGGACACAGCCATTCCTCTGCAAACCCCAGTTGGCCAAGCAAACATCATCCATGCCGAACAGGACAAACTCTGGCTTGACAATGTGGAAGGTCTCCAAAGTGGCCAGATGGTTTCGCAAGACAAATACATCGGAGATCTCACCGAACTCTTCGAACAGTTTGGCCAAGAATGGTCTCGTAGATGGGATCGCCACTTGCATGTTGACCCCAACAGGTGGAACCCAATCATCTCTTTTGCCGAACAGGTTCTCCCACGACCACCACCTATGAAATGTGATCCTATCAGCATTGAAGAGTGGGACTCCGCCATCAAGCGCAAGTCCAAACGTGCAGCTACTGGTCCTGACGGAGTCAGTAGGGAAGACATGTTACATTGGCCAGCCGAAGCCAAACAAGCCCTCTTGGAAATCTTCCACCGTATCGAAAATGGTGAACAATGGCCACGCCAAATGGTCACAGGGTTTGTGGTTGCACTTGAGAAAACCCCAGGGGCAGAGACGGTCAACCAATATAGGCCAATAACCTTGTTCAGCCTGTGTTACAGAACATGGTCGTCCATACGTGCCAGACAGGTGTTGGCCCATTTGGCACCGCTTGCGCCTTCCACATGCACTGGCAATTTGCCGGGTAAACACTCAGCACATGTTTGGTATGGTGTGATGCAGGAAATCGAACTAGCCCAACTCAACCAAGGAAGCCTCTCCGGATGGGTGGTAGACCTGATTAAAGCCTTTAACATGCTGCCACGAACGCCCATCATGCATTTCATGGCCCTTCTCAACGTTGCACCACGTATCATGCTTGCATGGGGTAATGCTTTAGTGTCCATGGAAAGGAGGTTTAAGCTTCATAATTGCGTAGGCCCAAGTCTTCGATCCACCACAGGTTACCCAGAGGGATGTGCACTGTCGGTGACAGCGATGTTGGCGCACAACCTGGTGGGCCACTTCTATATGAGACTCCGCCACCCGTCGGTGACACTGTGGAGCTATGTTGACAATATAGAAGCCACTGCACCATCATCAGAACCAGCCTTGAGAGCCCTCGAAGCGTTCCACCAATACAGTGACCTAATGGATGTAGCCATAGACAATGACAAATCCTATGCATGGTCGGTAAATGCCTCACAGCGGAAAAACCTCCGAGCGGAGGAGATGATCACCAAGTTGAGCGCCCGTGACCTTGGAGGGCATGTGCAATACAGCAAAGTAGTCACCAATGCCACCATCACCAACAGGTGTGAAGAAATCAAAGCACTTTGGGGACGTCTTGCCCGTTCACTAGCGCCATATGCCCAGAAAGTACGTGCGTTGATCACCAAAGCATGGCCTTCTTGCCTACATGGGGTCTCCTCAGTGCACATGGCCGATGACCACTTTGATAAGCTCCGTACAGGGGCATTGCAAGGCCTGGGGGAACACAGTAGCGGGGCATCGCCCTACATCCACCTTGCTTTGATCGAAGGGCCAGCTGTAGACCCACAGTATTATGCCCTGTTGCAAACTGTGATGATGTACAGAGAACACAACCTCACCGATGACTGCACGTTGTATTGCATGAGCGAACTGCACCACACCCGCAAAACATACGTCCCACGTCCTGGTCCTATGTCGGTCTTGCTCACCAGGTTGCATCAAATAGCATGGTCATGGTCCCATGGGGTAGGTTTTGTCGATCACCTTGGATCACCCATAGACTTAAGAGAATGCCCGGAGCAAGAACTTAAAGACAGGTTGTCAGATGCATGGCAAGCCAGAACACGTGGCATGGTCATCCATAGGAAAACCTTTGATGGCATCCAATGGACGAGCTCCAAGCTCACCATGGCAGGAACCAAGCACCTGTCAGCTGAAGAAAAGTCAATTCTCCGAGTGTGTTTGAATGGTACTTTCTTTACAGCTGATAGAAGGAAGCATCAACAACCTGACTCCGACACCACATGCCAGTTTTGTGGCAAGCCAGACTCCCAGGTTCATCGACAGTGGCTATGTGAACACTTTATAGCACAAAGAACGGTCACCATGGATCAAGCCAAGAGCATTGCAGAGATGAAGCCGTGCATTGCCGCACATGGGTGGATGCCTGAGCCGCCATCGTTGAATCCATAGCGAAAAATGTTGCAAAGCCTAGCTTCCGAAAGTTCCTTGTTTGTAAGCCCACCTGAACTTCCAGCACAAGTGTTTGCTTTCACGGATGGTAGTTGTAGAGCACCAACATGTTCCTTAAGCAAACTTGCGTCTTGGGGAGTAGTTATTGCTGAAACCAATTTACAAAATTTTTGGCCATTAGCCGGAGGCGTTGTCCCAGGTCATGTTCAAACTGCTTTGCGTGGAGAGATCACCGCAGCAATAAGTGCATGTGAATATGCCCTCCAGGTTGGCCGTGAGTTGCACTTGTGGACTGATAACGATCTGGTCTATAGGAGAATTTTGAAGTTTCAGCAAAAACAATGCTACTTTAAACCCAATCAAAAAGATGCAGACCTTTGGAAAATCTTGCACCAGCGGGTTCGACAGCTAGGAGTTTTCTTTCTAGGCGTAACAAAAGTATGTAGCCACCAAGATGTCTCTACAGCGGATGATGAATATGAAGCATGGGTTTTCAAAGGAAATGCAGCTGCTGACCATGTCGCCGACACTGCAGTGTACCAACATGTTGGTTTATATAAGCTGTGGCAGTCCCTTCAACAAGAAATAGCTCACATCCATATGCTCCGCAACCACGTTCACCGAACCTTGATCCAAGTTGGAAAACATGCGGTCCGCTCTGGGACTGGGAAGCCTCCTGACAAGCAGCATGCTGAAAGAATCTCCAGAGAAGAAATCGCCGAAGCCGATTTTAGTCCAATCCCAGTAGACTGCCTCCCCGGTAAGTACATGTACCCCTATGCCGAGGAACTCCTGAGTTGGCTTCACCAACTTGTCGACCCAAGCGAGCCTGTTAGATGTATCTCTTGGTTTCAGGTCAATGTAATCTTTGAACACCAGACCCGGCGGACTGGTGTTAGACACATCAAAAGCAGAAAGCAATGGGTTGAAGGAGAGCGAGACACCAAGCACATTGACTTTGTCCGCCGCACTAACTATCTGTCTGATTGGGTGCAGGGAGTGTGGAGATCAGCAAACCGACCCATAAAACTACTGCATCTTCGTCCAGAGAGCAATGTCCTGCAGTTTTGGACGCAATGCCTGGCCTTACGCATACGTGCAGGCTTGGTACAACTGGCAGATGAGGTGCTGATGGAATCTCAAGTCAAGGTCTCCAGCGTGCGCTCGCTACGGTACCTTTAAGGTGTTTCTGGAGGTGGCTGGCTGAAAGTTGCCCAGCGATTCCGCTTCGCCGAGTCATTGGGACGGTCCGAAAAGCGTGAAAAGCGTGATGATTAGTTCGGGGATTATACTATATACCCAAATCTACCCAATATTTTGGGGACTACAATAACCCAATCAGTATCATGGAATGACAGAGGGATTTTGAACACTGCTCAAATGTCTGTGAAATGATTAACTAATAGGAATCATGTGGTTAAAACAATGCCATAAAGCACCCATGGTAACCATACCACCTATTAAAATGGTGAAATTGAGGATGGTTTATGGCATTGTTTTTCCAACATTCTGATAATACGATATGATGACTAACTATATGAATATGAACTAATATGATTAAATATAGAGACTGGGAATATGAATCAGACATGAGAAATACTAATGACTAATGAAGTATGATCCATATTCAATATTCCTATTAATTGTAATGGGAAATAAATGGTGGAACATTGGATAGCTATTAACTACAGATAAATGACTAATGGGAATATTTGACGGGATACTAATTCTTATCTTTAGTTATGCCAGGGTCGTCATGTAACAAAATGGGGGAGGCTAACCAGTAATCCCCACGATTTCTATGATGGCAGGAGCCTCCTCATTGACCGCACAGTATAGATTTTGATGCTTGGTTGGTTTGTAGACCCCATTAATCATTTGGGGGTTTCCATAAAGTTGGGGATCCTCAATAGTAGCTGGATGGTTAATAATGGAACATCCTATTAAAATGGATGATTTAGGGGCACCCGCCCCTGGTGTAGGAAACCTCCATATAACATCATATAACTAGAACATACTGTTGAACAGTTGTGTTAGTCACAAGGCGCCACTTAGCTAAGTGTTCGGGGCTGCGGGTGGAGAGCGATGGACAGTTCAACAGGTTAACCACATGGGAATTGAAATAGTTTTAACCGACCATGATTTTTTGTTGATTTCAATGGGAATTTCAGGATCCAACAGATGGAGGTACGTCAACGTACCATATGTTTGGCCATATTTTCTGGGGATATCCCCTGAAATTTCGGCCTAAAAAATAGACCTTATATATGGTAGGTACCTCCAATCAGTCGGAACCTGTTGCATGGCCAGTGATGATTCCCCTTTTATGTTGCCCCGTTGTCGTTGAAGACATGAACAATAAACTTATGGATTTCAAGTAAGTTCGTCAATTAACCACATTTTGCCGCCGTACTTACAGGTGCAGTCGGGATTTCTAATGGGTATAAAGTATGACCATAGTAATAAGCACCACATTTAATATAATTTAAATCACATTCTGGGACATAAGCCCTACAACTATGGTGAAACATAGCGGACCCTTAATATGTGCGTGTTACCCTCTGGTAAACAAACATAGTAACATAGCTATTGAAAATGGCCATAGAAATAGTTGATTTATCCAGCTAGAAAATGGTGATTTTCCATAGTTTTTTGTATGTTTACCAGAGGGTAATATGTGTTGATCTATTCTTGTTTCATCAGTTGTGAAGTTGTGCCAAAGAGAGGGCCACGCCTGGGAGGATTTTGTGAGATGATTAGAAGTCACTAAGGGCATACCATCCTGTTCGAAATTTCATGGGAACATACCCAAAACATCATGGTGATATAACATCATGGGGTATCGAACCAATGATGATCTGGTGGTTTGAAACATGTCTTTTCCAACTTAGGATGTGATTAGCTGATTAGCAGATGACTTTTGCACTTTTTTGGTAAGGATAGACATCCTCACAATGCAAATAAGTAAATGATAGGTAGAACACCGTTGGTATCGAACCTCAGAGAATCCAACCTGGCACCGTGGATGATTTCGAGCTACAAGGTGTGAAGGATTTCGAAGCAACAAAAAATCACTTCTTGAGACAACTTATTCAGTTTTCATGTGGTTAAAACAATAATAAACCATCCCCAACACCATTTTTATGGGTGGTTTTTGAACCATCAAACATGTGGTGGTTTATGACATTGTTTTACCCACATTATTCAGTGATTCGCTCCACGTCGCAGCCCCCTTGATAAAATCAGCCCTTCCTCAGCCCCTCCGAAAAGCCCCGAAAACCACTGCTCGCAGTGTCGAGAATTCATTAAGATGAAGTACATCGAAAAGAGATGGGTCTGCAACTCAAAGCGCTGGTAAGTTTCGGCTCCGGTGAAGATGGGAATATTGAAGTCCTAGCTGGATGGTTTTTTTCGCAAGATCAATTATAGTTTGGGTTCTATATTCATCCAACAATGGCATTGTTAACAATGTTTCAATGTTTTCCTAGTGATAAAATGTGACAAATAAATCCAAATGGAAACCTTTTTTGCCAATAAAAATGACTGTCGGGGGGGAATTTGGCCTCGGGTATGATGGCAACGGGTAGTTGCCACGACTTTCTCGCGAAATTCCAAGTCGTCGTAGAATCAATGGAATTTCCCCGTTCCCAAGCGAATCATGGCATGAAGAATCAAAAAAAAGGGTGATATGAATGATGATTTGTGAGATATCATCAATTTTTTTATTAATGATTATTCTAAAATAATGATATTAATGATATTTGTATATTAATGATCATCAGATGATTCTAAAATGATCATTGAGTGATTGAAATAGTACAGTCAATACTAAATCTACCATGAAAAACCTTCATTTATTCCGGGATCATCTATCATTTCTATCCCATGAAAACATCCAGCTATCCGATATGAGTAACCGACAAAATACAGCCCGAACGCTGGTTAAGAATCCGAAAGCTTGAGGCCCAGGGTCCCTCAAATTCTTAAATTCCTATGTGTTAGTACAACTGAAAATATGTAGCCCGCCTTGGATTCGAGCCCCTCAAATTCTTATACAGTGAATTCTTGTACAATACTCAAGCTGTAGTGATTAGATAGTGGTTAATGATGGTTAATCATCCCATTTCTATCCCATTAACTAATTTAGTCTTTGCTTCGCCTTGGCCTTTCGGAGGTTGCACAAAACCTTCAAAACCAATAAATTTAACATATACCCTCTGGTTATGACTAATATAGCCATGGAAAGTGGTCCATTTATAGATGGTTTACCTATTAAACATGGTGATTTTCCATGGCAAACTGTGAAATAACCAGAGGGTAATTTTCATTTCTGGTTGCTGGTTTGGAACATGAATTTTATGACTTTCCATATTGGGAATGGAAAATCATCCCAACTGACGAAGTCCATCATTTTTCATAGGGGTAGGTATACCACCAACCAGCCATAATTATCCAATGATTAACCATCATGAACCACTATTAACCTCTATTAACCATTACTAATCACTATTTTCCTATGGTTTTCCTATGGTTTTCCCATTAAAACCTCCATTTCCTATGGTTTTCCTATGGTTTTCATATCATCAGTTCCTAACGGGACGTCCTCGCCGTTGTGCCACTGAAAGGTGGAGCGCAACGGCGACGGTCCAAGAGACGGTCCCCGGGACCGGGACCGCAGCGACCGCGACCGGGACTCGCGGGAGGAGCGGCGCTATGATGCAGGTGGGTCCCGGGGGAGGTGAGGTGGCTATATTATAATTTATCCAGATGGGATAATTATATGGTATTACCATCTGGTAAACATACAAAACACTTTGGAAAATCACAATTTTTCATGCGTTAAAAAAAAAACTTTACCCAGATACCCTCTGGTTATTTAACATAGCTATTGAACATGGCCATTTATAGTGGATTTTCCCATGAAAAATGGTGATTTTCCATAGTTATGTTAGTTTACCAGAGGGTACCCAATGATTTTTCATGCAATTTTTTATGGGTAAAGCATGAGGTAAAGCCAATAGTTAAGGGGATGATGATGATGATGATGATGATGATGATGATGATGATATGCTAAATGGGGATAGATTCATGCACTTCCAACTGCCCATCTGAAAAATATCCTTATATCATCTTTGATATGTTTCCTTAAACCCCCACTTTTGATGGGATTTATGCCTCAACTGCATCATCTGACCTAACCCCGTTTCCACAATAGGAAGATGAGAGAATTGGCAGGAAAGCCCGACATTTGTGCTGGTCACAACCGGTAAAACCTTGCAAACTACTATTAAAACTATAAAAACCCAAGGTTAACCCCTAAAACTATAAAAACCCAAGGTTTCCGTAGATTTCCCCCAGAAAACCCACCCCCTTTTTCGCCGTGGACGACACCGCAACCCGCTGGCCCCTCGTTCCCGAGGTGGTCGAAGCGCGGACCGCGAGGAGCGCGACCGCGGCTTTGATCCTGGACATGGACGAGACGCGTGGCCAAAGCGTGGGTACCCTCTGGTTATTTAACCCATAGGAAAATGGAGGTTATACCCTCTGGTTATTTATTTGCTGGTGGATAATGGTGGTTAATAGTGGTTAATAATGGTTAATGAGATATAACACTCTGGTTATGACTAACAGTTTGCCATGGAAAATCACCATTTTTAATAGGTAAACCGTCTATTTCTATGGGCCATCTATACCATGGCTATGATGGTTATATGTAAGCATGGTTTATTATATATCATGATAATCATGGGTAAATTATATATCATCATAATCATGATGGTTAATAGGGATTATTCCATATATTTGGTACAATGGCTTATGGGGAATAATGCGGATACTATAGCATATCCATAAGTCATTGAATAACATGGAGACTAACTATGGAGGCCATATTATATTACCATCTGGCTATTTATGCCATGGAGAATCACCACTTTTAATAGGTAAACAGGTAAACCATCTATAAATGGGCAATTTTCCATGGCTATGTTAAATAACCAGAGGGTAAATTATTTCCAAATATAACCCATTAACCCCAGATGGTTAGTGAATTAATTATTATAATTTACCCAGATATATGTATGGTTTTCTATATAGGGTAGGTCAACCACCAACCAGATAATAATTGGGACAATGATGACTGGTTGGTGGTTTGGAACATTTGGATTATTTTCCATAATATA